ACTCCCACGATTCTTGTGTCTGTAGGTATTTCATCCACCCCGAGATCTGAGAACCATGCATAAAATCGAAGAAGGAAAGCGGACCCCTCTCAACAATTAAATCCCTCGACAATCCAGCAACTCTACGATTTCAACCGACTGTGTGTTCATGGACATCAACAATAATGTTATTAGAAATTATTTTCAAACCTTATATGATGAGTATGCAGCTAAACATGGCATAGCCACACAGCAGTCTATAGCTTCGGTTTCTTCGAGCTCAAGTCGAGATAAAAGCGTAAGTTTTGATAGGTATGCAATGGTAACTGAACTAACTGGTGGATTTGGACTTGGATCATCATTGGAGGTTTCTGAAATAGATGAATATTTATCTACTTCTTTAGTTAAATATCAAAATAATAATTTAGATATTTTACAATGGTGGAGAGTATATAGATCAGTTTTATATCCTATACTTTCCACCATGGTTCGTGACTGACTAACAGTGCAGGTTTCGACGGTAGCTTCAAAATCCGCATTCAGCATAGCAGGACGTTTGATCGATGACCACAGGACATCGTTAGATCCGTATACTGTACAGGCGGTGATGTGCTTATAAGATTGGTGGAGGTACGAGAAGAGAACTCAAGGCATCGATCGACCGACTGTAATTGAAGATAAATTTGAAAAATTAGGACTAGCAGATAGATATAAAGATTAAATAATATTCATCAAATTATAATTTTTATTTCTTAGTTAAATTTTGTAATAAATTATTTTGGAAACAGTTACGAATGATAGTGATAGGTGAGTATGTATCAACCTAGTTGGGATGTACTCATCTATTGTGATGCGACGAATTCCGAAATAAATTTATACTTGTAAAGGTTCGAGCCGAGGTGGGCCGGTCCGGATGGACACCCCTATCCATACCTCTCGCCCATCCTTTTCGAGCCGAGGTGGGCCGGTCCGGATGGACACCCCTATCCATACCTCTCGCCCATCCTTTTCGAGCCGAGGTGGGCCGGTCCGGATGGACACCCCTATCCATACCTCTCGCCCATCCTTTTCGAGCCGAGGTGGGCCGGTCCGGATGGACACCCCTATCCATACCTCTCGCCCATACCGACGCCTTCCGAGTTTGATGGAGTAAATCTACTCTTCTATACTTAAAAGAGAATCCAAAGAGTTACTATTCATGCTACAGTAAAATGCTACAGTGCGTACTGCAGTTTAACCAGCAAACCAAACTGGATCTTTACGCTCGAAGCTACTGTTTATGCTACAGTAATTTGTTGTAGCATAACCAGTAAATCAAATCTGCTCCTCCATACTTGAAGTTAATATTCATATTGTAGTATTTTACTATATTATAAACAATAAAGCAAATTAAATGTATTAAAACTTGAATTATTCTTTAAGTATAGAGGAATAGATATGATTTCTATATTAAATGTATTAAATTTAAATTATTCTTTAAGTATAGAAGAGTAGATATAATTTTTAATTTTAAATATATAATAATTAAATTAAATATATTAAAATTTAGAGAGATACAAATTAAAAATGGAAAATATTGTTTAAAAAAATAAGAGGTACATGCTTTGCTCAGGGGCACGTTAGTATGCTTTGCCGATACGTGTGAATATATAATAAAATAATCCAAAAGGGCGGTCATCTTGCAGTCCATAAAACAAAATAGGATTCTCTAAAAGATAAGGATGTGTATATATATTTTCCTGAGGTGACTTTGTCTGATCTTCATCACAAATGATGATAAATGTTTGGGAATTGAGTTGTGGGCGGAAAATAAAATTTATTCATTTCGATTTCAGCACCATAACGGGCTGTTTGTTTTGCTTCTTTTGTCCCTGATTTCCTGTCAAAACTGACAGCTTGACAGCTTTCTTGCCAAAACGCTCCTAAAAAAAACGTTTTAGCAAGAAAGCTGCCAAAACTGACAACAAACTGTCAGTTTTAACAGGGAATCAGGAGCAAAAGAAACCAAACAAACAGCAACTCCTATCGGGTTTTTCCGCTGCAGTCCCAAATTTCAGGACACGTGTCAAATAGTTCAGCGGCAGCAAGCGTAAGTTTGTTAGGCCCTTTTTTATTAGACTCCAGGATCATTCACATTTTTTTTTCCGGTATCAAGCCATTAAGGGGTTGTTTGGTTCGTTTCCTTGATATAGAGAAATACAATTCCATGTAAAGAAACACAAGTTTTGAGTTTTCCAAACTTTTCCAAGAAATAGATTGTTTTGGTTTGGGTCGCACATAAAAAATGGTGGGAAACCAATGTATTTATTTTTATTGTGTTTGGTTCGCATAGAAAAAAAAGAAAAACTTTTGTAAACAAAGCAGAGAAGGAAAAAAATCTGACGTGGCAGAGTTTTCATCAATTTCACTTGGTTGGGGAAGGAAATCGGAGAGGGAAAAAAATCTTAGTTGGCGGCGATTTCAGCAGAGTTTTCCCTCTTCCATTCGAGCGAACCAAAGCGGCACAAAGAAATGGACGGAAACAAAAAAGCTGACGTGGAGGGCTAAAAATCTGACGTGGAGGGGTTTTCTGAGTTTTCCACCCCTTATAATAGCGAACCAAACAGCCCCTAAATGTAAAAAGAAAAAATTGCGTTTGCTTTTCTCTTCTAAAAGTTGAACTTCCTTATTCTGAAATTTGATCTTTAAATCTTTAAATTTTTATATTTACCATCAAAATATTTTTAGTTGTTTTATCTTACCCCTCTCAGTTAGTTCTAACTATGATGAGCATATTTTGTTAAAATTTTCATTCTATATTATTTAGACAATTGTATATCCATACAGAATGAGAGTCCATTTCTAGTGATCATTTAGTCCTTGCAATAATATCTTAAGGTGTCCTTTAGCAAGGACTTAAAAAAGGGTTAATGAGAAGAATTTACTTAGTAAACTGTTCACGAGGAGTTAAAATAATTTAATTTCGTTTGGCTTACATAGTTAGTATGAAGCATTAAAATTTTGTGTTTGGCAAAAAAAAAGAAGGATTATGTAGGTTAATCTCTCTAATTTCATTAAAAATGTTAACTTTAACCTAATTAAAAGTAGGAAAAAATCTAATAATTATGATATTAAGATAACTTCAACTAGAATTAGTATTCATCTGATCAAAAACAAAATACTCTAATTTTACATCATTTAAATAATGAGTGTTGAGAACATAATGAGTGTTGAGAACACTAGTAAAAACCAATTTAATTAAATTGGAAAATTAATAACTTGTAGGCAACATTATTGCACGCGTAACAACAATCAAGGTAAATTATATTTTGTTTAAAAGCCCTTATTATTATTATTCTTTTTCCTGAAAGGGTTGGTGTCTTTTTTCTAATTGAAGGCAAAGAAATTATTTTCTCTTAATATTAGTTTTATTTTTTTAGTGAAAACTTTGCTCTTCTGATGGGCTTCATGGATAAGAGGACAAACTTCCGCGCGAGGAGGCAGAGACTAAATTTTTAGTCCGCCTCCTCAGGTGGAATGGTTAACTGACGCAGCGTGAAAATTATAACCTGGAAATTCATCAAAGACAATCTTCGAATCCACGAAGAGCTTCGAATCGACGAAGTAAATATTGAAGAAAAACAAAATTTTTATTAATTAAAAGTTGTGCCTCTAGGGCTTACAAGACTCTTCTTAAATAGAAAAAAATAAACAAGACTCCTACAAGGACTCAAGCTCTACCAAAAATAGTAAAAGAATTCCTAAAATATTAAAACTCCTAAAAAGACTCCTTATTATTAGGAAAGTCCACCTGTCAAATCCGAGATCAAATCGGATTTGTTTCCTAAACAAAACAGACTCCTAAAATATTACTAAAAATAGTAAAAAAAAGACAAAAATACAAATATCTCTTAAACCGTAAGGAATTTGGCGAAACGGAGAACGCAAAGCGAACTCTAAGGGGTCGGTTTGGATGACTCCGTCTCGTCGAGATAGTCAATTTTCATATATGATTCATCCAATTCCGACGTACGGTTTGAAAGTTTACGGTCGTTTCTTCGAAACTAGTTATTTTCTTCGACCAGGCCCGCATTTGAGCTTGCGACTGTCCCACTTTGACATAAACGTGTCTGCTGTGTGTTCTACATCATTAACTATGGAATTGTTAACTAAGGATCTTACCATCATATGCATGTTAGTAAACCTAGTGAGAGTTTTCTCTATTTGGAGGGTTAATCTGGATTAAACCTCTTAACTCTTCCATTAACTCTGATGCAGCCGATTTGATGGGTAGATACCGATGTTTGGAGAGTGTTCGCATTATCATTTGGGTCTCGACTTGTTGTGGATTGAGTCCGTTGTTGTGATTTCGTTTCACTTCGTACTGGACGCAACAAGTGGGACATTTGGTTTGGTTGGTGTCGGCTCAGTTTTGGGAAGACTTCGCCGAGATGGAGAATTGTAGAATTGGTGACATAGCGACGAAGTTCGGATTTTTTAAAGTAGGGAACATTTTGGATGTTGCACGGTCGACCGCGAGTGGCGCTGCGGTCGACCGCGAACATCCACAGCACAGAGAAAATCTCCGGACTTTTCGCGGTTGATCGCAAGTGGCGCGTCGGTCGACCGGCAAAACCCTGTAGTGTTTTTTGGTTTCGTTCGTTGGATCCAGTCGACCGCGATGGGTTCGACGGTCGACCGCGATGGGTTCGACGGTCGACCGCGAGTCGGGTCTGGGCCTGCTTCGGTTTCCTGCACTATTTGAGTTTCTTGTTTTATATAAATAGGAACACGATTTGTTTAGGGTTTATTGGATCATATTGATCACTTTTATTTTTTTGGTAATTGAAAAATTTTTATTTCATCACCAAAATGAAGAATTTTGTACATCAATGATTCTAGAGCTCAGAATCAGAGCTCAGCTACAAAAACTCCTTACAGAGCAAAGTAAAAACCTGCACATAATATGTACAAGGTGCCTAAAAGAAAAGCTATACTGTTTCGTGCAATTTCAAAACCACTACCATGGATACTATTTTCAGTTACAGTGATAGAATCCACTCTCTGTCTTCAGCCGAAGGGGAACCATTTAAGATAGCAACAAAAATATCCATCTTAATATCCTTGATTATAGCATCAGGAGTTTTACACTTCAGCTGGAAAATCCTGTTATTCCTTTCTCTCCAAATGTTATACACTGCTGCAGCCAGAGCCATCCTTTTGGTTTTCTGCTTAAATCCTTTGCCTTTCAACCTAAAACAGTACCAATTCAAAAGTGTAGACCAGTCACATGATCTCCATTTGAATTTGAGCCACTCCATAATACCATTCCACACAGCATTTGATAATTTGCACTCAAAAAAGAGGTGATTTCTGCTCTCTGCAGAATCATCACATAGCTTACACACAGAACCTTGAATAATCTCATGTTTGAGGAGTCTATCTTGAGTTTGAAGCTTATCATTAACTGTTAACCATAGAATGAAAGAGTGTTTAGGATAACTCAACTTTTCCCACACAGTGTCATGCCATGCCACTTGATTTATACCAGATGATAGACTGGAATAGAGAGTAGAGATCTGGATTTTTGAATTGACACAGCAAGAGCTTATGATCTGTTTGAGATTTTCAATCCCTCCACACAAAATAAGGTATTTGTCCCTGATTTTCAATAACTGTTTCCACATCCAAGAATCCTCCTTTTTAGCAATTACCTGTCATATTGATCACTTTTAGGGTAGCTTGAAGGAGAGTTTTGAGCACAGAAAATAGAGTTCTTTTCTGAGCAAATTGTTTGAGGGTTTTGTGAGAGATTTGAGGGTTTTGTTTGAGAAGTTAGTTTGAGTGACCTTGTAATCTCTATTTTGTACTCTCTATCTCTATAGTGAAAACCCCTCCCCTTCTTGCCCCGTGGACGTGGGCAATTTATCGAACCACGTTAAACTTTGTGTTTGAGTTTGTGCCATTATTGTTTGATTTGAGTTGTCTTTTCTCTCGGTGTTTGGTTTGATTCCTCGGTGCACAACAAAGACATCAAAATAGCATAAATACCTACAAAATTATTTGAATTAAAATCACTGAGAGTTTCACATCCATGTAAGGAGCATGTTAAAGATTGCATGTAAATATTGAATATTTTCAGTATCCAATTTTACGAATTTGATTTTGAGTGATAAACTCTATGCACATGAGACTATAAGTAGACTCAAAGACTCAGCTGGGTTTCATTATTTAAAAAAAAAGACAGTTGGGAAAATTTTGGCTGAATAATTGGAGCGAGGAATATTGATGTTTAGCACGAAAAGTAAATAAATATTTTCTGGAAAAATGCTATAAAATTACAAAAAATGGACACTACTAATCGTATAACTAACAAATTTCCTTTAAAACTGTTTAGCTCCAAGACGTATTTATGTATGGAGACGCCTTAAAGCTTGTTTCTTAGGGTATGTTTAGCAACTTCGTAAAACTAGTTCAAATCTGAACTTGGTCTAGTTTTAGGGCAGTTTTCTGATTGGTAAAAGTTTGTCTAGAACTAGCACAGTTCTTCTTAGGTGCTGGTCCACAACCGAACTAGTTCTTACAAGAACCAGTATAGAACACTACCCTAGCCCAGTCGCCAAATAGACCCTTGGACATGCAGATAATGAAAACTAAGTAGAATATTTCTTTTATAATGAGAGTATGTATCATGGTCAAATTATCAAATCCCCTCATCCAATTTTATATGAAATTATATATTTCATTAGTTCGATTGATGACTTCCCCTCGTTACTAAAACCATTAAGAATATTATTTTCTCATTTTTCTTCTTTTTCATTTTTCATCTAGCAATGGTGAAGTCTTTTTATTTATGATTTTTCTTACGTATGTCCGTGGCACTTGTTAGGGAATGAGAGAGACACTACAAGAAATTACATCTTTAACGAAGGGATTTCCCTTCGTTAAAGAGCTGAAAACCTTCGTTATTGTATGCTAACGACGGGGAAAAATCCCTTCGTCACCCGTCGTTGAAGCCCTCTTCGCTAAAGAGTCACGAAGGGATATACTACCCGTCATTATAGAGTCTATAACGACGGAACATATTACCGTCGTTAATATTTACGACGGTAATTATCACCATCGTTACTAGCAGTAACGGGGATATTTTACCGTCGTTACCATAAGTGACGGGATATTTTCCCGTCGTTACCATTAGTTACGGGAATATTTTCCCGTTGTTACCATTAGTTACCGGGATATTTTCCTGTCGTTGAAGACTAATTAATGACGGTTGGATATCGTCGTAAAAGTCCTCATAATGGGTAATTAGTAACCCATTAACGACGGTGCTTTCCCTTCGTTGATGAACAAAATACGGTTTATAAAACCGTCATTGTATAGACTACAAATTTCTAATATACATTAATAATAATTTTTCCATTCATAAACAACTATCATATTATTCTCAACCTGATACTAAGATTCACAACACAAATATATTAAAAATACCCATTAATGAATAAAAGGAAAAATAAAAATTTCATTCATTAATAACATCAATAAATAAAATTCCACCATCCTCAAATATTCAATACTAATAACAAGAGTTAATATCCTATTTGTTCCAAAGAAAAATACATGAAACTATCTATAACAAATTAAAATAAAAGTTTGGGGAAGACACATTATTTCATCCCTAATCATCGTCAAAAGAAGACTCGAGCTACCCCACCTCTCCTAATCTTGCATGGATAGCCTGAAAAATTCAACAAAAAAAAAATCACATAATTAAGAAATATCAATTAAGCAAATATTATCTTATTAAGTAAAATTCACATTTTTTAGTGCAAGTAGTCAATCATAAAAGTATATAAGAGAAAAGGAATAATTATAGTGAGATACAACATGTCTAAATAACACAATAGGAAGAAAAGAAACATCATATGTCTAAAAAAAAGGAATAGTTATAATGAGATACAACTTAAAATTTATCTCAATAACACAATATCATTTGAGTTCCATTCTTTAATGAAAGCGTTTTAATCCTCTACTTGAGTCTTTTTCCTCTTTTTTGAAGTTGATACCGAATTTACAATAATTGGATCAATATCGTTCCTTATCAAATTGATATCATCATCTACCAATGATGTTGATGCAATAACCTGAGCATCAAATGATTCATATATGGGGTCATTCAACATATAAAAGCAAAGATGTTAACCTATATATGACTGTAACTTTTTAAATTTTGACTGTAACTTTGGGATTTACTAGAGGGTGCAATTAAAAGGAGGTACAGAATCTAACTTAAAAAGAATCAGATCATTCTGACTATTTAAAGTTGAACAATAGTCAATAGCTGATCACATATGCACCCAATACCTCTAATGATTAGGCCTATTTTATAGAAAAACAGACTTAAAAAAAACCAGCTACAGAAAAACTCAAATCACCCTAGGATAGCTAGACATATTTACTTTAGTTGAACTAATAAATATAGTGTGAAAGACTCTAGGTGCTCTAAAATATTTATTATATTTTCCTGCTATCTATCAACATACTTTTTTCTCATATCTAAAGTAGCATACTTCTTGAAATAAAAGTATGATTTAGGTGTAAAGAAGAAAATCCACCTGCATTTTATATGACGTCAATGAAAAAAATTAGAAGATACTCTGTGTTTATCTACTAACAGTATACTTATGGCGCATGTTCTAGCAATTCCAAGAATGGACGTAATCTCAATTCATATAGTATCTTTGTGAAAACATCCATGCACAATAAAAGCTGAGTGCTCTCTATTATCAGATAATTAAAAGGAAATTTCACAACAAAATCAAACAGCAATATACATGACCGAACCAAATATAAAAAGCTACAGCACACAAGTAGGAGATATTCAGAAAATTGAAGCTTGTATTAATCTGAAAAAATAGAATGGTGCAGTAAAGCTGACTTAGGCTGTATACAGAGTTTATATAGCTTTCACCTGGAGATCATACTGAAAATGAAGAATCATGAATGAAGGAGTTGTAATCAAACTGGTCAATAACATGAATACAACGTAACAAAGTTGACTGCCCTACCTGAATATTATTGCATTTGACTCTGATGTCCGTTTCCAGTCAACGTATATTGGAAGTGTTAATAGATAGTCACTGTTTAGTGCATATGTCAACATCAAATCCTGGGCTATTAATTCTTCAAATTGAGCATCGGACAGCAGTTTCATAAATGATTGCTGAAAATCAGGGGCCATAGCAGCTCTACATATGATAGCCCATTGTTAGATGTCAGTAATAACACACAAGTTTACAAACCTAAATGATAACAGAAACCTTGTATGTTCATATATAATGACTCATTGCCCAAGAGTATTAAGAAAATAAATGCAATGATGAAAAGATATCAATATTAGAATGCATTCCATTGTTTACTCTGACAATCTTTAAAAGATTAGATTGAATAAAGAAATAAAGTGGCAACCAGTGGCATAAAAGGAAGAAAGTGACTGATCTTTATTCATATCTGGAGGCTGGAGATTTTAGAGGATTATGAGTTAGAGTTAAAGATGAAAATCATTCAACACGAGGTCAATTTTGTTACATAAAGTAACTCATCGTTTGAGGCAACATGTGAGTAATACAATCACATTAACCACTCTCAAATATCACTTACAAGCCACATGATCTCGAGAGAGAAGTCTTGCATAAGGATATAGTTTCAGAAGTAGGGCTCATTAAAGTACATATCATTTCAGTAAACATTAGTGCCAAACCTGGTAGGATCTCCAAGAGTGCCATTAGTGCCAAACATGGGTTTTCTTCGGAACCCTAAATCAAAAAACAGTATAAATTTTCTCTTAACAATGATAATAGCACAAACATCTGTATGATTGAAAAAACCTTAAGGGCTTGTTTGGATTGAGGGGAATGAGGGTGAAGGGAAGTTAGGGGAACCATTCACCTCCATTCACCTTGTTTGGGAACACTTAGGAGGTGAAGTTAATTCACCTCCATTCACCTTGGTTCACCCCCTAATAGTATAAAAATTGTTACCCTCCAAATTAGGGTGTAACTGTAGGCGTCGAAAAATGCTTGCAGGCATCCAAATACCACTCAAAATAATATGGGAGAACAATTTACACGTCATCAGGCAACACAAGGTGGCGCGGCAGCCCATGGCGTCGCGTCTAAGGCGCGACAGTACATAGTGCCGCGGCTAAGGCGCGACAGCACATAGTACCGCGGCTAATGCGCGACAGCACATAGTGCCGCGGCTAATGCGCGACAGCACATAGTGCCGCGGCTAAGTCGCTGCAACCTAGGGTGCCGCGGCTATGTTAAAGGAGTCCCCCCTATGGACATCATTGACGGGGGGCTGAGCATTTTCCAGAGAGATTAGAGCAGAGAGCCTTGAGTTTTGGTGAATTAGAGCAAGAGAGAGAGTCTTCCTTCTTCACAAACATCCTCAAGAAGCTTCTAGCGAGTCCTAGAGATCTAAGCTCAGACTTGATCTTTGGAAGAGTGAACATCTTACATCGATAAGATATTCGCTTCAAATTCTTACTTCGATAAACGAAGGAAGAATCATTAAACCCCTCACGGTTCAATCAGAATCTGTGATTTGGTGGTCCACGAGTCAAAGCGCTCCCGGCACAGGCAAAGATCCCACGCAAGCAGCGATCCAAACAACGATCCTGCGTTTGTTTCTAAAAAGTTGTAATTTTTCTTTTGTTG